AGTCAGCAGAAGGAGGGACATAATAAAGATCAGAGAAGAAATAAATAAAACTGAGAAGAATAAAACAATAGAAAAAATTAATGAAATCAAGAGCTGGTCCTTTGAGAAAATAAACAAAATAGATAAACCCCTAGCCAGACTTATCAAGAAAAAAGAGACTCTACACACATAAAAAGAATGAGAAATGAGAAAGGAAAAATCACTACGGACACCACAGAAACAAATGCTAACAGAATTAAAAGGGGAAATAGAATGCAAGGCATTCATTCTAGGAGACTTCAACACTCCACTCACTCCAAAGGACAGATCAACCAGACAGAAAATTAGTAAGGAGACAGAATCACTGAACAACACATTAGAACAGATGGAACTAACAGACATCTAGAGAACTCTACACCCAAAAGCAGCAGAATACACATTCTTCTTAATTGCACAAAGAACATTTTCAAGAATAGACCATATACTAGGCCCAAAAAAGAGCCTCAGTAAATTCAAAAAGATTGAAACTGTACCAACCAGTTTCTCAGACCACAAAGGTATGAAATTAGAAATAAATTACCAAAGAAAATGAAAAATCCCACAAACACATGGAGGTTTCACAACATGCCCCTAAATAACCAATGGATCAATGACCAAATAAAAACAGAGATCAAGTAATATATAGAGACAAATTACAACAATAATTCAACACTGCAAAATCTGTGGGATGCAGCCAAGGCCGTGCTAAGAGGAAAGTATATTGCAATACAGGCCTACCTCAGGAAAGAAGAACAATCTCATGTAAACAGTCTAAACTCACAATTAATGAAACTAGAAAAAGAAAAACAAATGAGGCCCAAAGTCAGTAGAAGGAGGGACATAATGAAGATTAGAGCATAAATAAATAAAATGGAGAAGAATAAAACAATAGAAAGAATCAATAAAAGCAAGAGCTGGTTCTTTGAGAAAATAAACAAAATAGATAAACCCATAGCCAGACTTATCAAGAAAGAAAGAGATTCTATACACATAAAAAGATTCAGAAATAAGAAGGGAAAAATCACTAAGGACACCCACAGAAATACAAAGAATTATTAGAGAATACTATGAAAAATTATATGCACTGAACTGGATAACCTAGAAAAAATGGACAACTTTCTAGAAAAATACAACCTTCCAAGGCTGACCCAGGAAGAAACAAAATCTGAACAGACCAATTACCAGCAATGAAATTGAATCAGTAATCAAAAAACTACCAAAGAACAAAACTCCCAGACCAGATGGCTTCATCACTGAATTTTATCAGACATTTCCAGAAGACATAATACCCATTCTCCTTAAAATTTTCCAAAAAAAAATAGAAGAGAAGGGGAATACTTCCAAACTCATTCTATGAAGCCAGCATCACTCTAATACAAAAAACAGGCAAAGACACCACAAACTAAGAAAACTACAGACCAATATTCCTGATGAACATAGATGCAAAAAAACTCAACAAAATATTAGCAAACCTAATTCAGAAATACATCGAGAGGATCATACATGATGGTCAAGCGGGATTCATCCCAAGGATGGTATATCATTTGAAAATCCATCAACATCATCCACGACGTCAACAAAAAAGGAGGACAGAAATCACATGATATCTCAATACATGCTGAGAAAACATTTGACAAATTCAACATCCATTCATGACAAAAACTCTCAACAAAATGGGTATAGAGGACAAGTACCTCAACATAATAAAGGCCATATGCGGCAAACCCACAGCCAACATCATACTTAATAGTGAGAAGCTGAAAGCTTTTCACCTAAGATTGGGAACAAGACAAGGATGCCCACTCTCTCCACTTTTATTCAACATAGTACTGGAAGTCCTAGCCATGGTAATCAGGCAACACAAAGAAATAAAAGGCATCCAGACTGGTAAGGAAGAAGTTAAACTGTCACTGTTTGCAGATGACATGATATTGTACATTAAAAACCCTAAAGAATCCACTCCAAAACTACTAGAACTAATATCTGAATTCAGCAAAGTTGCAGGATACAAAATTAGTACACAGAAATCTGTTGTATTCCCATACACTAATGATGAACTAGCAGAAACAGGTATTAGGAAAACAATTCCATTCACAATGGCATCAGAAAGAATAAAATACCTAGGAATAAACCTAACCAAGGAAGTGAAAGACCTATGCCCTGAAAACTACAAGACACTCTTTAAGAGAAATTAAAGAGGACACCAATAACTGGAAATTTATCCCATGCTCTTGGGTATAAGAATTAATATTGTCAAAATGGCTGTCCTAAAGCAATCTATAGATACAGTGCAATTCCTATCAAAATACTGACAGCATTCTTCAACGACCTGGAACAAATAGTTCTAAAATTCATATGGAACCATAAAAGACCCCGAATAGCCAAAGCAATCCTGCGAAGGAAGAATAAATTAGGGGGGATCTTCCCAACTTCAAGCTCTACTACAAAGCCACAGTAATCAAGACAATGTGGTACTGGCACAAGAACAGACCCAAAGATCAATGGAACAGAATAGAGAGCCCAGATATAAACCCACACTTATATGGTCAATTAATATAAAGGAGCCGTGGATGTACAATGGGGAAATGACAGCCTCTTCAACAACTGGTGTTGGCAAAACTGGGCAACTACATCTAAGAGAATGAAACTGGATGACTGTCTAACTCCATACACAAAAGTAAACTCAAAATGGATCAAAGATCTGAATGTAAGTCATGAAACCATAAAAGTCTTAGAAGAAAACATAAGCAAAACATGAGCGACTTCTCCATGAACATATCTCCATGGTCAAGGGAAACAAAAGCAAAAATGAACAAGCTTTTTATCAAACTAAAAAGCTTTTGTACAGCAAAGGACACCATTGGTAGAACAAAAAAGGCATCCTACAGTATGGGAGAATATATTCATAAATGACATCCAATAAGGAGTTGACATCCAAAATATATAAAGAGTTCACGTGCCTCAACAACCAAAAAGCAAATAACCCGATTAAGAAATGGGCAGAGGATATGAACAGACACTTCGCAAAAGAAGAAATTCAGATGGCCAACAGGTGCATGAAAAGATGCTCCACATCAGTAATCATCAAGAAATGCAAATTAAACCACGATGAGATATCACCGCACACCAGTTAGCATGGCCACCATCCAAAAGACAAACAACAACAAATGCTGGCAGGGATGTGGAGAAAGGGGAACCCTCCTACATTGCGGGTGGAAATGTAAATTAATTCAACCATTGTGGAAAGCAGTATGGGGGTTCCTCAAAAAAGCACAAATACAAATACCATTTGACCCTGGAATTCTACTCCTAGGAATTTACCCTAAGAATGCAGGATCCCAGGTTCAAAAAGACAAATGCACCCCTATGTTTATTGCAGAACTATTTACAATAGCCAAGAAATGGAAGCAACCTAAGTGTCCATCAGTAGATAAATGGACAAAGAAAAGGTGGTACATATACACAATGAAATATTATTCAGCCATAAGAAGAAAAAGAAATCCTACCATTTACAATAACATGGATGGAGCTAGAGTGTATTATGCTCAGTGAAATAAGCCAGGCGGAGAAAGACAAGTACCAAATGATTTCACTCATCTGTGGAGTATAACAACAAAGCAAAAACTGAAGGAACAAAACAGCAGCAGATTCACAGAACCCAAGAATGGACTAACAGTTACCAAAGGGAAAGGGACTGTGGAGGGTTGGTGGGAAGGGAGGGATAAGGGGATTAAGGGACATTATGATTAGCACACAAAATATAGGGGAGGGCTCGGAGAAGGAAGTATAGCACAGAGAAGACAAGTAGTGACTCTGTTGTAGAAATCTGTTGTATTCCCATACAATGTAAAATTCCAGTTTACATTGGGAGTAGTGACTCTGTAGCATCTTGCTATGGTTATGGACAGTGACTGTAATGGGGTATGTGGTGGGGACTTGATAATAGGGGGAATGTAGTAACCACAATGTTGCTCATGTGAAACCTGAGCATAAGATTGTGTATCAATGATACCTTAATAAAAAATAAAATAAGAGGCTTTTCTGCTAAAAAAAAAAAAAAAAGAAATAAAAGTCTAGGGGAGGGGTAGTTACTATCAAGAGGTACTGATGTACTACTGACTTCTGGGGCACAGGAATTTATGTCCTAGTTCTGTATTTGGGTGTGTGTGTTCACCTTGTGGAAATTAATTGAGACATATACTTAAGATTGGGTACTTTTCCATAATTACGTTAAAAATAAAAAAAAGAAAAGTAAAGCTCCCTCAAAATAGTTGAATGAATGAATGGATGCATGGGTGGATGGATAGATAAGGTGGAAAATAGCTTTGTTTGCTGTTATTGGTTCACCACTACCCCTGACTCTCTGCTCCAAATCACATCACAAAGTCAAGGACTGGTCTTTTCTCAGGACTGATTCATAATAGCGACTGAGAATTTATTGCGTGATTGGTAGGATTTAATACTCAAGATAATCTGTGCATGGCTGAGAGATACTGTGTGCCTTTATTCTAAAAATGTTTTAAATATTTGTATTTTTTAAGAGGGTGAGGTGAGTGAGGTGCATATTTCCAGCATCCTTTTCATTCTGATGCAGAAATATCAGCTTGGACAAGGACTGCCTGCTCACTTTCCTCGCTGTTTGGTGCTCCTAAGCCATTACTAACCTCACGGGTAACAGCTTAATAAAGACCTCGACAAAGTGCTTTTTCACTTTTCCAGTTTACATTGGGAGATGGCAAATACATTCCCTTTGGAAACGTGTCAGTTTTTTCTTTCCCATGTGTACATCAGAGGAAAAGTGGGAGGGGCTGGGGAGTGGGGGTGCAGTGTTGGGGGGGTTCTGGGTTCGCTCCTTGTTCAGTGGCTTTATTAAGCAGGTTTAGATCCAGTATTCCTGAGCTGAAGAGATGGGTACTGGCTTTGCTGAAAGGTTTCTTAAGTAGCTCGATTCCTTCTTCCACCCTCTCCTCGTCAACTTTCAGAGCTTTAGAGAAACTGAATGGCTTCCAGTTGGAGAATTTCACACTGAAAGTGGCCTACATCCCTGATGAAACGGCTGCCCAGCAGAGCCCTTCGCAGCAGCCCCGCGGGCGCCGCGGGCTTGGGCAGAGGGGCTCATCAGGCCAGGGTTCTCCAGGATCGGCGTCCAAGCAGAAGCCATGTGACTTGCCTCTTCGCTTGCTGGTTCCCACCCAGTTCGTTGGAGCCATTATAGGGAAAGAAGGTGCTACCATTCGGAACATTACCAAACAGACGCAGTCGAAGTGAGTACCTGGAGTGTGGTGGGTGGTACTATTTTTCCCTTTGAGTCTTAATAACACATTGTGTTCTGGTACTTGGTGTCCTTCTGAACATGGCTATGATCCTTTCTTGTATGGTACTTGGGAATCCGGAAAAACCTTGTGATTTGATATGTTAGTGTTCATTTTATATGAATCTGGGGCTAAATCTTAATCTCAAAAAGAACCTCAAGTTTTCACACATGAGTGGAAAACAATGCACTTCTGGTGTGGGGAGGCCCTGATGAACAAAAGGGCAGCTTCTAGGTTGTTCCCTGCTTTCCATTCCCACCGTCACCCCCAGGGATATCTGCCTTTGGTGTTTTCTGGGTCCAATACAGAGATTTTACTTTAGTAAAGAATCATTCACTTATGGTCCTGATTCATCCCATGATTAAGCTACAAAGTTAGAGAGGCTTTTTTTCAGGACGTTGTTTGTTAGTTTTAATTTGTAGATAATATGGATTGGATTATTCTCCACCAAACATTGGAACTAACTTTGTAGGAATAGAAAGCAAGAGCTGTTTGTATTTGCCCCTGTAGCTCCAGTGATGAGCACAGTGCAGCATAGGTAGAAGGCTCTCATATTTGTCAAATGTGTAAAATGACTGTATGTAAATTGTTTAATGCACTTAAAGTATATTCTCAATTTAGACTCTCCAGTGCATTGTATATTAGTAGTTCTGCTTTATTAACTGTCCTGTTCTCTATGTGGAGATTTTGACACAATGAAGCTTGGTGATGAACTCTGTCCTCACTTCTAGTTCTGCAAAGTGCCACCAGGAACATTTCTGGGGCAGCTGCTGCCATATTTCTTGAAGAACTAAGTGTAGGAGGGAGAAGAGGTGGTGTGCAAACCTCTGTTGGGGGGGAGGGAAATGGCCTTGGGTCAGCTCCAGAGGTGACTGGATTATCTTCTTAATTTAGGAAGGAAAATGGTTTCATTTTATGCCCTTGCCTTCAGAGTGTAGGGATTGGTGAGGAGTTCAATTGAAGCAAAGCCTAGATCAGTTTTAACTTTAAATTTGCATATTTTTAATATTAAAATTTAAACGGCCTCTTGCTTCTCTTGACCCACTGTTATATGCAGAAACTAATTATTAAATAGTTCCCTTCCTTGTTGGGTATCAGATTAGAGTTGTTCTTTTTAAAGCTACTTGTTTCCTTGTCATAGGGAAGAGCTTCTAGGATTTAAATTGAACTGTTTGTTTTATTTGAGGCAGGAAGATGGAGGATGGAGAGGGAAGGGAAGCAATTTTTGTTATATCCGAGATTCATTAGCAGAGCTCTGCCTATGGATTTAATCAGCTCTTGCCATTGAAACTAGATCCTGTATCTGGAATGGTCTCAGAGGGCTACCCTAATCTATAAAGCCACATTCCCTTCTCAGAAGATCAGTTTAATAATCCTTAACACAGTGTAGAGTGGAAATAAAGTAGAAGGAAGGGGATTAACGTGTTACCTAAAGAAGATAAGCAGTATGTAGTGATTGGAGGTTAAAACTGGCTGGAAAGGTGGTTCCTGAGGTTTGGGACTGTTACCTAAGGTGCTGCTTTATTAGTTATTTTCATCCACACAGCCCTTGTTTCATTTCTACATTTCTCTTATTTTTAGTTATAGGTTTTGCTTCTGAGGTAAATCTTCAATTTTCAGTCAAACATTAAGGGAAATGGAATCCAAACCTTTGAATTTATGGGCATGCTGAGGTTGCCATTCTCACGGCCACAAGTTAGTTATGTAGCTCTTTATCTTCTAGTGTTTGAGAAGCCAAAGTGGCTCACGGGTACTTAATTTTCCCCAAACACACTATGGATAGTTGATTTTCTTTCTTATATTCTTTATAAACAGAAGACCTACTTTGTATTTAATTCAAAATGTAAAGTATGCAAGTTAAAAAAAAGGCCATCCTTTATCTCATCTCTGACATATGTAGCCTTTCTTAAATCAGGGATGTCTCTTGACAGGACTTGTTCATACTATCTGCTAACATGTGCAGCTTTAAAAGAGAAACCACATATGGGTTTTGTCACATAAGGCCTCTTACTATGTTGGTATCTGTAATTTTACCATGTATTTTTTTAAAAATGTATGATACTGATTTACTGTTATCTAACCATCTCTTCCTGGTGGGGATTTTAAAGATAATTCCAATTGTCCTTTTATTACAAAGAGTGCTGCGGTGACCATTCCTACACCAGTGGTTTTCAACCAGGAGTGATCCTTCCCTAACCCCCCGCAGACATTTGGCAATGTCTGGAGACATTTTTGGTTGTCATGACCAGTTGTCACTATTGGCATCTAGTGGGTTGGGTAGAGGCCAGGGATGCTGCCAAACATCTTATAACACACGGGGTGGTCCCCGCAACCAAGAATTGATGTGACCCAAAATGTCAACAATGCCAAGGGTAAGAAACACCAGTCTTGGCCATCTGGAGGAGATATTACAAGAGGCAGACTTCTTGGGTCCAGAGATGATGAGCATTTTAGCTCTTATAGGACCTATTAATTTGTTCCACACTCCCACCAAAAGTGTGTGTGGGGGGGTGCTCAGTTACCTATCCTCTTGCCAATGCTTATTTATCTATTAAGATAACTCCAGGTCTGGAAGAAAATGACATCTTGTTTTAATTTGTGTGCCTAAAACTACTGGTGAGGTTGAACATCATTTTGTTCATTGGCCATTTGCTTTTCTTTGAAATTGCTTTTCTTAGAATTGCCACTTCTTTGGGCTCCATTCCTATCACTGTTTGTTGTGGACTTTTCTTTATCAAGGAGGCAAAGTGCAGAATGCCTTAGAAGAGGAAACGCATGAGCAAAATCTCCTCATGTGATGAACAGTGGATATACTGTAGAAAATAACAAGTTTGACCTTGTGATATTCTAACTCCAGCCTTCTTGGCATGAGTTCCAGTTCCTATTTGTTTTAGAGCAAAAGGAAGCCTTTTGTCTGAATCCAGGCCCTCTGATGTGAGAAATTTGTTCTGTATCATCTAAAAGGAAAATTAAGTACATACAACTTGAGCAGAATGAAAGATGCCCCTGCTTGAGGAAAGAAAGGGGAGTATTCCTGAAATTAAAATTTGTCTCTAAGGCATCAATGCTGACAGCTTATCAAGAGTTTATGGTCTTCAGGGAAGTGAGTCATCTACTCCTTGCCCAGAAGTCCTGTGACTTCCAAGTTGGTAGTTTCAGGCTCTGTTGTGAGGCTGTGCTCATGGCTCTCCCGTCCCTCTCTCCCTGTGCCCACCATTAAGAATTGATGTCCATCGGAAGGAGAATGCAGGTGCTGCTGAGAAGTCAATTACTATCCTTTCCACCCCCGAGGGCACCTCTGCAGCTTGTAAATCTATTCTGGAGATTATGCATAAGGAAGCTCAAGATATAAAATTGTGAGTAAAAGGAATTAACCTATGAAGAGCTTGATATTCATGTTTGATTTTGGAATTCTATGGCACAGTTCTTGCTTATTGCCAACAAAGGGAAAGCTGTCCTGAAGGGCCCCAGTGGTTGGCACTGTTGGTATGGTTGTAAAATATAAGTCCTTAAAATTTTTGGTTGTCATTCATGTTTGAATATGCGGTGAGTAATGTCAATGGGTAAAGTCCAGGTGTAGAAGAAGGTGAGTGGGGGAACATAGGATGCCCGTCTAAGGTCCAGAAAGTAGCCCTGAGATTAACCCAAAGCAGGGGCCTCAGTTCCCCCCACCTTCATTCAGGGCTCTTAGAGCTCTGCTCTTGTCACCTGCCCAGCTGCACTCTGCTGGGGCAGGGAGTGTGGGGGTGGGGCAATCCCTAATCCTGGGCTGGGGTAACCTGGAGGTGTATTGGGGTGTTCCAAGTGGGAACTCTAAATATCTCTTCCACAGGAACTTTGAGCAGAGGCTCAGTTCTGTGCTGCACTTCGCATATTAGCACAGTGCTATACTAGAAGTAAAATCCAAAGGATGGTGTTGGACCTAATTACCAGCACTTAATTTGTAGGAACCTTTAAAATATATGAAATATATTTAAGTTACAAGGTCTTAACTTGTCACTATATTAAAAGAGCATAATTATTTTTTAATATGGAGAAAAGTAAAAAGCAGTTCACCATCATCCACACAGTCCCAGTGACATTTTTAAGCAGTGATATGTGTGACTTGGAAATTCAGAAAGGTACAAAATAAAAAGTGAAAGCCCCTCTTCTTGCCCTTACATTCTGTTCTCAAAGTGTAACCACTGTCAAGCTTTTCTGTAAATTCTGCATGTGTCTCCAGATACGTATTTTAAAATTTATACTGAAATCATGCTTTTTTGCATTTGTACATTGTCTTCTGACTTTGAGGATTAGGATTATGGATTTGAATAAAAGGTGTTTTTAAAGATAACAGAACCAAGTATTGGAAGCATATTCCCCAAGATGAATAAGAGAAGACTTCTAAAAATTGACTTCTGTCCAAATACTTGTTAATATTTTTTCCGCCCCCTCTATTCATGCATTGCTAGAATGCAGGCTAATGACCAGCAAGCTTTAAACTCTCCTTAGCTCACTGCTTCCTATGTGGTGGGTAGTAAGTGTTCAGTGAATGGTGTTTTTGCTCCAGAGTGGGTTTCCTTACCCTGATTTCATGACTGTTTTTCCTTTTCTTTTTTTTTTTTCCTTTACAGCACGGAGGAGATTCCCTTGAAGATTTTAGCCCATAATAACTTTGTAGGCCGTCTTATTGGTAAGGAAGGAAGAAACCTTAAGAAAATTGAGCAAGACACAGACACTAAAATCACAATATCTCCGTAAGTGCTACCTTTGCTTTCTTTTGAATCAAAGACTGTTTTGAAGCTGTAGATTATATATTAAGAAGTTTCTCCCATTTTACAGCTGTTTGGCTTAGCCCATACAGCCATTATTGTGCTTCATTTCTCAGACTCAGCCTACTGCCTACTGTCTGTTTCTAACCCACAATAAAAGCATTATCTGTTCCCACTAAACAGGCAGGGAGCACTAACTACTTTATACTCCTGTACCCAAGGTGAAGTGTTGGTCAGATTCTCTAACATATACCTCCAATGTTGGAACATAAAACTCAGTTATTATTCGTTCCTGTGTAGCAAATTGTCCCAACACTGACAACTTCAGATAGTTGCAGACATTTATTCACCTAGTTTCTGTGGGTCCAGTGTTTAGGAACAGCTTAACTGGGTGGCTCTGGGGTCTCTTAAAATTACTGACAAGTTGATGCTCTGGCTGTTGGTGTGAGGCCTCAGTTCCTCCGCACATGCGCCTCCTCCCCACAGGGCTGCGTGGGTGTCCTCAAGACATGGTAGCTGTCTTCCCCCAGAGTGAATTGTCCAAGAAAGAGCAAGACAGAGGCTGCAATGTCTTTTATAATATAGCCTCAGAAATCACACTCTGTTGCTCTTGCGATACTGTTTACACAAACAAGTCAGCTTTGTGCAGCGTGGGAGGGCACTGCCTGTTCCTGGGGAGTGGCTCATCTTGGAGACTGGCTCCCACACCCAGCGTCCATGAATGCTCTCATTATATGGAAAGGTTTTCCTATTTTTTAGGGTGACTATCTTTAGTTTCCATCAGAGTACCCAAAAAAGATGAGGTGGGAAGAGACTGATAAATTAAGGAAGTATGGTGGGAAAAGACGGAGCAACATGTTTGTGTAGCAAGGGGTTTTCAGAGAAGGGGGTGAGAATTAGAACATCTTGTTTGGTTGTAAAGAAAGAAGAAAATCACAACGTGGTGAATATAATCAATGATCGTATCCCATTTTGAATTTTACGTTCAGAAATGAGAGGGTTTTAAGAGAAAAAAATCTTCAAAGCTGTTACAGAAGCATCTGTAAAAGACGTATAATAAGATGCCTGGCAGCGGAGCAGTAGGTTGAGACTGGAAACTAGAACTCCTACTCTAAGACAAATTGTCTTCCTTGTGTAGCTCTTTACATTTTTAGCAAATTTGAGAAAAAGTTAAAGGAATAATCTCCCATTCACCTGGCTCAAGTTTAGCTTAAAATATTCTGCTAGTGGTGAACATGAGAATTTTGACTGGAACATGAAGGAGCTGTGACAGTATTCTATATCCTTTCAATCTATTCTTGGTTTTGTTTTCCATGGAAAGCATCTCTCATTGCTTCCCCACTCAAGGCTGTTGACTGGCTTAAGTGTAAGTGGTTTCAGGTATCATGAAGTGGATTTTGAAGCTTCAGCAGGACCTGGGTCAAACTAGGAGGTTTCTGAACATTGCTGTTGTGTTCTAAGTTTTTAGTTGTCTAAATGGTAATTAGGGACTGTGTTTTGATTTAGTCAAGAAGGATTGATATATATTATTTCCTCCAGCCTACTTTGCTCTGAATTTTGAAATTACTGGAAAAGAGTAAGTTTGGAGACACGAATTCTGGTTTGCCTTTTTGGAATATTTCCATGCTTATTCCTTGCTCAGTGATCCAGAAAATGGAATTGTAGGGGAATGTCAATTATGCCAGAATTGGTCTCTGCATACTAATTAAAAGATGTGCCCATCTGGTTCTTGGTTCCACTAAAATTATACATGTCTCTGGCCATTTTCTTTATATTTCATTCTTAAATTACGAAAAAAGTTTGACCTTAAGTGGTCTCAAGAAGTACACTGTGTTTAAAATGACTTAATAAACTGTGTACACCAGTAATTTTTATTGGGAAGGTGGGAGGGGAAGTGTTTTCTTCTGTCCTGCAGCTTGACAGTTCTTGGATTCATGTCTTTTGGGGCTTACTCATTTTTCATCACGTCTAACCACCCCCTTTTACATATTGCCACCCTCCACAGTTGAGTTTTAATTGCCATCTGCGGCTGAACTATTATTAACTGTCTTCCTCCTATAATTTCCATTCTTTCTCTTTCCCCTCTTTTTCAATCTGCAGATTGCAGGAATTGACGCTGTATAATCCGGAACGCACGATTACAGTTAAAGGCAGTGTTGAAACATGTGCCAGAGCTGAGGAAGAGATAATGAAGAAAATCAGGGAGTCTTATGAAAATGATATTGCTTCTATGAATGTTAGTTTTAATAAGAACCATGTCTTTATTTTGATAAACAGTTTTACAAGATGTTTTCAATTGTATTAATATTGATTTCTTTAATGGTGTCAACATTAGATGTAGTTTCTAGTTGATTTTTAGCACCCTAGTGCCCTGGGTTAGTTGAGAAGACACAGATTTTGACATTAGGCTTAGCTATCTACGATTTTAGCCAATATTTTAGTCTTACTTTGTAATCTGTGAGGTAAGGCCGATACTTATGTTTTTTTAAAAAATATTATCTCCCATACAATGTTAATTAGAGAGAGCTTAGTCTAGTTAGAATGTCAGCTTTAGAGGTATGTAAACTTGGTTTGAATGCCACCTGAACCATTCATTAGCTGCAGCTCTCTCCTCTTGGACAACTTACTGAGTCCACATTTCCTCATGTGTAAAATGGGGCTGCTGCCTACATTGCACCCTATTAGGATAACAGGATAAAGTATATATAAAAGCTATTGTTAAGAGTACAGGTTTAAAACTTGGTTACTCATAAACCTTGGAGATAAAATAACTAAAAATGACAGAACAGTGGTGCAACTAAGGCGAGTAGAGTGAATTTGTGACTCCTTAATAGATGGAATGGTGCTGATGAGCCTGTAACATTTAAAAAATCCACCTTGAGTTTCAAGTAAATGACTGGAAAAAAAATCCTCAGTTGGGCCTGTCATCTGAAACATTATACCCAAAAGAAGGGTAATTTAAAAATTATAGTGCCTTTGTGAGAAGAGCCTATTAGCTAATCATTTTACCCCACATGACTGCCTGCCTACCTACCTTCACATTTTCATTGTTTGTCCAAATGTTTCAGAGTCAGCTGGGAGTAAAACTGACCCCCTACGCCTTTTAAAAAGATTCTCCAGTATGCTCAAGTCCCAACTCTCTAATCTCTACCTTACTTTCTCAACCCTTTCCTTAAGCCAAAGCAAAATCCCCTTTCTGGTTCCTGGATCCAATCCAGAGAGATATTTAGTTGCCATAGTTACATGGGGACAGGACCTGGTTTCCAGAGAGCTTTGACGTTATTTTAGGCCTTTAGACCCATGATTGCCAAATTTTATCCAAGGAGTAGAGCTCTCTTAATAGTTGATTCTGTATATCTGCTTTGCTTTTCAGTGAACATATCTTGCTTGCTTGCTTCTTCAACTAATGCAAGATTTCCAGTCTGTATTCACTGTGTGCCCACAATATACAGAGTACATGTTTGTCTAAGCACTGTGAGCTGGTCATAAAGGAAAAGAAAGCTGTGTTTTCTGCTTTGGCAACCTAGCTTCAGATCAAGTAGGGGGCAAGTGAGCATAAGGATTTAAAAATACCAAGAAATATTTAGAGTTATAAACTATATACTCAAATATAATTACATGGAACATCTGCTTTGTTCTTAAGTTTAAGCCATAAAGTGATTTTTTTTTCTTAGCTAGACAAGAGATCACAATCTGAACATTGTCACTTGTAAATGCTCAATTACACTTGATCTTTTAATTGAAAAATGAAGGGATCTTTTTACCATTGCAGCTTCAAGCACATTTAATACCTGGATTAAATTTGAATGCCTTGGGTCTGTTCCCACCCACTTCAGGGATGCCACCTCCCACCTCAGGGCCCCCTTCAGCTATGACTGCTCCTTACCCACAGTTTGAGGTAAGATAATGTGCTTCGCTTTCTTTATGGTTAAGTGGGATGCAGTCAAAGGGATACAGTCAGACTTTTTCCAATCAAGTAGTGTGACATTAAAAGCTAATTGGGAAATATATTAATGTAAAACCTAGTCCCCATGCTGATCTATCATCAGTTTAGAGCCAACACGTGGGTCCCAGTTCTTGTCTATAGAACCTTCTTAATTTACTCCTTCATAGAGTAGATACATGAGTCATTACTTTTGATGTTTTGGGGTGGTAAAGAGGTCAACATGGTTTTTAAATATCAAAAGAAAAGTTTGAGACTTTGGGAAGGGGTAAAAGTTATTTTTAAATGTTTGAAGGAAAGGTTTTTAAAAGGCTTCCTTCATCTTTCACTTCGGCTGGAAGTTAACTGCTTTGAGAGGTCAATAAAGACTGGACATGTTTTGTGTTTTGAGTGTTCATCCTGTTTAAACGGTGAGCTCACAAATCGTGTGTGTGTGTGTGTGTGTGTGTGTGCACATGCAAATGTTAAACAGCTTTTGTGAACAGATTATTATGAAGTAACCTTATGTTTGTACTTGCCACTTAAGAATAGCATTTTCCATGAGGTTGGAAGTGGAAGAGAGGGATAGAATCAAAATAATTGCAGCACAGCAAGCACCTTACACAGTAATTTTTTTAAAAATAGTTCAGAATTCAGTTGCATTATCAATAATTGGAGGTAGACAATCATGTGAAATAAATTAACAACATTCTAGGATCTTCCTTCATGAATTTGTTTCTGTAGCTCTCCCTTCCTGTTAAGCTGTCTTCAGTGTTGAGTGGTAACTCCCAGACCAATTCAGGGAGGTATCCAAGTAGAAGAGGTGGAGGAGTCCATTTTATCATTGCCTGGAATACAGGTGGGTGGACTCAAATGCCACTGAAACTGTACAGAGAGCATAGCTTGCTGAGCGTGTTCATATGTTATCTTTAAGAACCAGTATTTCCTTTGCCTGTCCTTGAAGCCGCCAGATGGTTTGGGGGTCTGAGCTTTGCCCTCCTCCTGAAGTGTGTGCTTCTGCCTTCACCACCACAGCATCGGCAGCTTCTGCTGCACTCATCTGCAACTTTGCACACGTTCAGTCTTGGAAACCACATAGCAAAGCCCATTCATCTAAAGATATAGGTATCAGACTTTTAGTGCCGTATCAAGTGTGAACAGATTCATTATGCGTTACCTGAAGCTTTCCACCACAGCCAAAGCTGCTGTGAAGTAGCTGGCATGTTTGCACCTGGATGCTGCCGGAGCCTGGTGGACAGAGCCGTGGGCTGAGAGCCCCGCCCCACCCCGATCTGCCCTGTGGATGATTCAGTGGCAAAAATTCCATAAGTGAATGGCTAGGGCTCCCTGTGGATTTTTTAATCCACAAATAAAATAACATGAATACTACTTGGATTTAGTTAATTTTCTGATTTAACAATAGGTTCTGTGTAATGGATTCCTGTGTTAGAAAAATTAGGATTGTCTTAAGAGACATGAGATCATATTAAAAACATTTCCAAAGCACTTTTACAATTTTAAATGTCTAAACGATTTAAAACAAGTAGCAATTTTGTCTTATTTTCAGAATGAAAAAAGGAGGTTGGGGATCAATGATCTTTAATAAAGTGAGCCAAGAGTGAATGTAGGGAACACCTCACTGGAATAGGTGGTCCTTCTCCTGAGATTGTAAAATCAAGTCGGTGCTATTTGAAGCAGTCGGTGCGAACGAGACACAGAAGCTGCCAGCAGGAAAGGTAAACACAAGGCAAGGGCAAGAACTCAGACCCGTGAGGGCCCACCTGGTGGCCAGGTCAGGAAAAGGTAGTTCTCATTCTTAAAGGGATAAAATGTGGACAGTCTCAGCAGTCCATGTTCTTTGCAGAATTCCCCTGGGCATTTTACTCTGCATGTGTTCCAGGCAGTGATAGAATGCAATCCCCAACCTCACATCTGGATGTTGCTCTAAGTTGGTGTAGGAGTTACCACTCAAAACACTGTAAATGCTATGAAAAAGGGCAGATCTGTCCTCTAGTTAGAATGGCTGATAAATTGTGGCTGTACCGTGTTTGCTGAAGACAAGTATGTTCTTGTGATTTTTCTGTAGATTGAAACTGACACTGTATTAGTCTTAGATCTTAAAGACTGTCAGGGATTATCCACAGACCTTAAAAGTGGAAAGGAGACATATTTCTGTAATCTACCTTTGTCTTAAAAATGCAAGAAATCTTTGCTTTTGTTGGTTTTAAAAATAGGTCCTCACAATTACCTTTTCATCTCATAAACACATAGATACATAATGCTCTCTTGGATATTTGGTATATGTTTTACAAACTTTATAATTAAAGATAACTACTAATGAGAACATTGTACTATTTTGAACTTTTCCCTTCAAGGAGATTCACATTGATGTTAACCACAATTCTATCATCACCCTTAAGAAATTTGGCACAATACGATTATTTAATATGCACTCCATTATTTAAATCTCCATGGTTACCCCAGTAATGTTCTATATAGCTGTGTGTTTTCAACAAAGAATCCAATCAAGGATCATGCACTGCATGTAGTTGTCATGGGTCTTTAGCCCCCTTTTCATTGCTAACAGGACTCCATCCCCATGCCCACTCCCTGTTTTCTTTATGGCACTGGAAAATTCAGACCAGTGGTTTTATGGAATGGCCCCTAATTTGGATTTGCCTGGCTCAGGTCATACCTTTCTTAGGGCAGGAATACCTTTGTGTGTCACTTCAGGAAGCAGATAATACTGTGTCTCATTAGTGGTTATGTTTTTTAATCATGTGATTGAGGTGGTGTCTGTCTGATTTCTCTGTGTACCTTTCCCATTTGTGATTAAGAAGTGATCAGTAGTACTTTGAGAACATATGAGTATCTTGCTCCCCAACAGTCTTTCACCCAGTGGGTTTAATATCCATTGCTGACATTTGCCCAAGTCATATATTACTATTTTTTTGTGTTTTTTTATTTATTAACTACAACCTTCTGTAAAGTGTAGCTTTCTCTACTTCCTGCTATAAGGGGAAAATTGTTCTTTGTTATTTATAAAAAATCACCCAGACCCCTGAGGTAGGGGGTGCAGGAGAAAACCAGGCATCATTATTCTGTAAAGGTCTCTAGCTGGGTCCAGTGTGTAGCCAAGGTTAACAACAGCTGCTCTGTTTAACTGATCAGTAATCTGTGCCCCACCTTGAACTTATATGAATCAAAAATCTCCCTCTGGGAGCAGATGCAAGCCCAGAAACTTGTGGTTTTGTAAAGGTCACTTTTTGTTACTCATTGTCAGGAACTACAATTAGGCAAGGAATGTTTAGTATTCTATGGAGGGTGGACTTAAATGTTGGGGGGAAAAATGCATGGGAGACAATATTTGGGATGAGCATATATGCAGCACTCATGTGCGTGCCTCTGCTTAGCTTCAGTGCTCTAAAGTGCGGTGGAAAACTCACCCCTTTTTCTCTGGACCACCTGTCATTTCAACCCATAGGCAACTATCAGGCCAAAAATGTCTGTGGGATGCTGCCATTTGTCTGTTCTCATGCTTCTAAATATATTTTGGCATGCTGTGTGTATCAGGATTAGCTTTGGCTTTGTGCTATAGGCGGAAATGTTTGTTTAAATGAATTTTCCTTTTTCATGAGAAAGGTTGGTGGGTAGATAATCCAATACAGGTAAAGTTCTGCCGTATTGTTTAGGACTGGCACGCTGCTGTAGGCTTAGCGTGCCACTACGCCTCCTGGCCCAGGGTGCCTGCTCAAGCTCCAGACACAGTTTCACTCCAGCCAGCAAGAAGGATGAAGGATCAAAAATTGGCATCCGCCTCATATAAGGAAACTGCCTGAGGATAGCTTTTCACACTTCCACTGGCATGGTGTTTGTCAGAACCTAACCCCTGGCCACAAATACCTGCAGGAGAGGCTGGGAAGAGGTCCATAACTTAATAGATGAATAGATGTTGGGGCCGCTATTTGACTCTGTCCTACTGGGCTTAGCTGTAGTACCTGTTAAGGGGATCTCTCAGAGCCCCGGAGGGAGGAAGTAAGCTTTTAAGTTCTCTCTGAGGGGCTGGTGGGTGGAAGCCCAGGAGAATGAGTTAATTCTGTAGGAGAACCTTCTGTGTTCCAGAGTCCACTCCTGTACATTAATTTTCATGTAAGAAAGAGAAAACACAGTTTTCAAAGAATTGTATTGTGTTTCTTGATACCAATCAAATTCTATGTATGCAACTTCTTGCGGAGTAGAGGTGGGGGAGTATTTAGTTGGACTAGCTTTGCCTTCACTGTCTATTATCTCTTTGCTCTCTTTCTAAAACCCAAATCCCTGATACTGTTAAGGGTATCTAGTGTGACCACTCTTTGAAACCCAAATTAAGTATTGTTTTTAAAGGCAATAATTACATTGGCCAAAGATGTATCCATTTTTTTGCTTGCCATTGCTTCTTACATTTCTTTCTGTTCCCCTTGGCTCCACTTTTCTTCTTGCTGAGGAACCTAGTATTGTAGGTCTGTGAAGGTCTGTGACGACATTTACTTAAAAACTGGGTTAGAGAATTAAAGGCTGGCAGGTATTTGCTCTCAGCGTGAACAATACCCCACAGCTGCTGCTGAGACGGTCGCTGCTCCTTGGACCCTCGCAGGAGTCTGGTCACTCACTCGGGTCGTCTCTATTGCTGGTTCCCTGTAGGTTAGCAGTGAATCTCTGCTTTTACTTTCAATGTATATTTTCCTGGCAAGGAGTAGCTTTTGATGACTAGATGTTTCCAAGAATCTATTTTATGTACAGCTTCTTCTAGAGTTGTCTTATTTTTCTACTCATGTTTTCACTTCTGCCTTGTAACATAAGTAAAACTAAGGCATCTTGTCTTTAGATAAATCCCTTGCCTCTATTCCATTCCAGCATTTTGCCCACTCTTCCCCCCACAACATACTCTTCTTCCTGGTACCTGCCAGGTGGATTTTTCCAGTAGAGCCAAAGCGTTG